CCTTTTTCTGATTTGGGTTTCTTTTTGCCCAGGTCAGCTAGAGATTTTGGACTACAATGTTTTCCCTCTATATAACTAAGTGCTAGGGACAGACAATTTTGCTTCATTATAAACAGAATTCATTATATATCTGTTATGTTTTCAATATATTCTTAGGCCACAGGAAATAATATTCACTTTGCTGTAAGCATCGATTGGTTATAAGTGTATGTGCTATAAGCATGTTTTACTGCATCTCAAAAAAAAATTGTGCTAAAACAGTTGGCTTAGCCTTCCATGGCTCAGGTGAGCAAAAAAATCAGGTTCAGTGGCCAATTTTTTATGTCAAACAACATCCACATCTGTTTAAATCTGATGAACATTCAAACCTTAGACTTCTCTGTAATTAGCGAACTATAAGGGTACCCCCAGTTTTCCTTTGGTTAAAAATTTCAAGGCACTTAACCTGATTTTTTTTCTCATCTTCTACAGCAAGAAATTTTTAAAACATATAAAAACTGAATGAGATACTACATTTTACAACTGAAAACAACTCATCTGCAGCACAGTTTGCTCCAAATAGATGAAAGAAGTTTTTTTTTTTTTTTCATTTTTTTTTTTAAAGAAATTCAACTGAATATCTCAAAAGATTAAATTTTAAAGACTATAGTGACTGAATTGTGTATTTTTGGAAAACCCCTGTTGGGAAAACTTGATTAATATATGCAGACAAGCCTCGTGTTGCCCAGATAGATAATGTGTGCATAAAGAAATACCTGACATGCATTGCTTAGAGGGGATTATGTATGAAGAACTCTTAACAAAACAACTCCACTTTAAACTACAAGTTAGAAAAATGTTGTTGATCATACAACACACACTGCCATTTACAATCTAAAGTTTTTCCAAAATCATTTTAACTTTTAATCAACTAGCTGTCACAATAACATTGCATTTCCTGTCTTCAATACTTTGATATATTCACAAGAGGTTTATGGGCCACAATGCTCACCTGAGTCAACATTCTAATATGTACATGTACAAAAAGGAAATATTTGGAGATAGAATAGGCCATACACTGAGAAAGATAAAATAAGTCATTTATCAGTGGAATATTAAAGGACAAGAGAGAAAATGTCCATAGAACATCTGATTCCTATGGCTTAAATCTGAAATTAACATGAGCAGATAAGGTGTTAGTCGCTGCATGAGAAATATTTGAGAAAATTCAGATTATTTGTAAGACAGCTTTACTCTAGCCAGAGAAGCATAAATCAAACTTTGATAGTGATTTCCATATATACAGTATAATTTTTCCAAACCGGACACCACCGGTTCCATAAAAATTGGATAGATTACACAGAATCTGGAGTACAGGAAAAGTGCAGGAAAATAATTGAAATTCATTTCCGTTGTTTTATCTACACATGTGCATAGTACAATGCAAATGTTGACAAAAAAATAATTAAATCATTAAATTTTTCGATATTTTTGAGGTCCTGATATTATTCAAGATTATAAGCATGACTTTCTGTCAATTTTTCTTTTTGTCCGAGACTTCAAACTCAACATGAAATGTAAACCCACTCAGGAGATCACAGCGGAACACCAAATATAGGAAATGAGAATTTGTCCTGTATTTTGAATTTTTTTTTTATTAGAAACCGCCATTTTTTAAATTCTCACCCTCATGACACCAGAAATTGTGTTTACTGTGCTTACAATGTTAACAGGACATCAGGATTAAAGGTGTAATTGTTTTCCACAAAAATTACATTTAATTAAACATTTCAAAACTTCTGTTAAGTTAAAAATGTTTTTATAGATTGGTTACAGTTATAACTTTGGCTCAGTGGCTAGGGTGTTTGTTCTAGAGTTGCAGACTAAGAAGTCAATTCTTATGTCACAGGTTCGAATCCCACTGCAGGAGGTGGAGACGGGTCCTTTGGATGAGATTGTATACACCGAGGTCCCGTACAGTCACAGTAGGTGCTGGCAAGAAAAAGATCCCTCACAGGTCTAAATTTGCAGTCCTCCACCTGACATGGGTGAAAAATTCTCAAAGGGACATTAAACAAACAAAAAAAACAATTTTAACTTTTTTGAATTTGATCTGTAGAAAGATTTGTCAAAGAGTAAATGACACAAATCAGAGCCAACTCTGTGATCTGCATGACAAGGACACTAAATTCAATTCATAATTCTGTTTGGCAATACTGTCCATTGTAATATAGAGTTAGAGAGTTGCTTTAGTATCATGAGAAAAATGCAGACTGACATGGGACAGAGACTCTCGCATGGTACTTGTACACTACATACATGGACAGTTCACCTTTGTACAAAATTAAACATTGCTTGGGACTGTTGAACATAAAATTCTGAAAGCTGCAGAAGTTGCTTGCAATAACTAATAATACAACACATTCTTATACATTTGTTGATTTTAAATTGAATAAGTAATTGATATAGTAATTAATTAAATATGATCCTTTAATAATGATATTTTTATTAAATATTTTGTACATTTTTTGGTTCAGTTTTCCAGTATTTTCACCTAGTAAATTTACACAGTCATTTTCAAGGCTCCTGTTTCTAGGCCTGAAATTTATCCCATGTACGGATGCATGTTCATATGCTGGAAAAAAAGACAACTACATGAACAGCACTTAAGCAAATTAACAAAAAGACCATGTCACAACAGGAGTTATTTACAGGTAGGAACATCACTTAAGTATCATCACTTATGTATCCTTACAGGTAGGGACATTCCTTTTACAATCTAAAATACAGGGATGACGACATAACCTTAGCATTTCTTGGTAGGAACATTCCTTTTACAATCTTACAGGAATGATGACATAACCTTAGCATTTCTTGGTAGGAACATCCCTTTTACATTCTTACAGGAATGATGACATAACCTTAGCATTTCTTGGTAGGAACATTCCTTTTACAATCTTACAGGAATGATGACATAACCTTAGCATTTCTTGGTAGGAACATTCCTTTTACAATCTTACAGGAATGATGACATAACCTTAGCATTTCTTGGTAGGAACATTCCTTTTACATTCTTACAGGAATGATGACATAACCTTAGCATTTCTTGGTAGGAACATTCCTTTTACAATCTTACAGGAAAGATGACATAACCTTAGCATTTCTTGGTAGGAACATCCCTTTTACAATCTTACAGGAAAGATGACATAACTTGAGGTGTAACAATACAGCGATATATCAATCGTATTGATCGCAAGGTCTCAAGATACGCATATCGTATCACCATGTATGTATCGTGATACAGTACAAGTTAATTTTCATTGTCTTATTTGAAAACTCTACATGCAAACTAACTAATTTCGATGTAACAAAATGATTAAAAACAAGATAGCAACAAAAACATGAAATGCTAAGACTATAAGTTCACCTATAAATAACTTTGGTTATTGGTATCAAGATATTCCTTTTATATTTTCTGTAATTGTAGAGGTTACCAAACAAGAATATGCAAAGATATCAGTTAATTTAATTGTTGACAGCTGTAACACGATACATGTTGTATCGCATGACTGTATCGTGATATTTATCTTTACGTAGCTTGTGATACTCAGGCCTAGACATAACCTTAGCATTTCTTACAGACAAGAAAATCACTTAGGTATTCATCTCTTATACATTCCTACCAGCACTAGGCCTACTTAAGAATTTCTTACGGGAAGATGCACCAATTTTAGGCATCATTGGAAAATCACTTAAAACATTCTTAAGGATTCCCTAAATAAGGTTATTCTTATACAGATATCATTTTAGATATTCTTACTTGGAGAAATATCATGAAGACATTCTTACAGGTAAGATGATGGCTACAGAATAAAAAAGTGTCAAAGTTAATATTGTAATTGCAAATCCAATTATGAAATAAATTTCCTTGACAATTCTTTGGTGATTTATTGAAAACTCTTGAATGACATCTGTATCTTTACATTAATTAAAACCTATTAATTCACAAAAAGTAGTCCAGTATTAATATGCAGCTCCTGTTTTTCATGTAAAATCAGACATGACCATCACCTTCACTTGCAGTTTGACACAACATGAGATTTCTGTTATCAAGTCCTTTTTCAGGACAGTTAGAAACCATGGTATTTACATCAGCTCATACTCATTAAGTCAAAACATTAGATCACCGCAATATGTTTCATTCAGACATAACTTCAAAGACAAGAATCTATACAGTGAATTTGAGGTTAACAAAAAAATTTAAGATAATGTTCCAATATGCTGCAGAGAAAAATCAAATTTGGGTTGCAGCTATTCTTTTAAAGTCCAAACACCTACTCATAAGGCAAATCAATAGAAATCAAACATGATAAGCTCTATGAAATGAACAATATATTATAAAAACTCTCTTTGTCAGGAGCTTTTGTGGAAATTGTTTGAAAAGTTAGGGGGAAATTTTTCTTAAGCTTGTTTATATGTAATACTTAAAAAAAATCCTCATATATGAAGTGCTGCAAACACTCAATTTTAACTACTTACAATTCTTTTTCTAACAAACAAAAAGAAATTTCTGCTTTCATCTCTCACTTGATCAGTCTTGTTTGAAAAAAAAAAATTACATCTGCTCACTAGGGACCTACATCAAAGCTAAATACATTAATAAATCACCTGATCATTAGCCAGAATGCTTTACTCTCTTCTAGTGGAATGTTAATTCTTATCATAAAAAAAAAGCTTAAATTATTGTGCATCATCAATAAGGACAGCATTACAATGAACAAGATCGTAATGACCAATTTTTCTCTTATTTATTCACATCTGTATATTTATGACCTGCGTAATTTAAAACGTAGTTACCTAGGCTTATCTTATCTCTTCCGTATAGAAAGAAATTTTAGTCTGGGTCCAAGATAACAAAATTGATCAGTGAGTTTTATCTGGGAAGGGTTTTAGACATATAATAGTACAGCACATTCTTTTTTTCATTCTCAGCATTGATCAGTGGTACTCTAGATACTCACCTGTGTTGCAATCCATATGTATACAGCATGCACAGCTCCAAAATTTTGAATTATTTTATCTGCAGAGGGAAGTATAGTGTTTTTTTCAGTATTAAAGCAATGTGGTACCCCACCAAAAATAAAGTTGGCTGATTGCTATCACACACTAAAAATATAGACTCATCCTGAAATTCTTGGAAGCAGTTCACTATGATGGTAAGACAATCAAAAGCATGGTCTGCAGAAAAATCATATTTCACGGCCACGTATATTTCATCCACAGGTCTCCAGTTTCACTATGATGATCCCGAACTAATGAACAACCACAGCTGATGATATTTTCACCCCTTACTATTCTTTTTTCCCTCTATTTCTGGCCCTGACTGTATATACACAAACAAAACAATCAGATGTGGAAAAACTACTATATACTAAAACACAGGTTAATACAAGCCATGTGCCAAGAATTTTCCTGTGGAAAATAATCTTTTATCAGACAGTAGGGCCTCAGTGATAACCTCTGGGTCTAAGCTGCCTTACATGTAAATATATCTCTGTGTCACTCGATGTGCTTTTCTTATCATTTCTAGCGTACATCCATGAGGAGGCCTTGCCAAAGAATTAATTCATGCTAAATGAGGTTGCTACCTGTCTTTTAACACTCCAAGGCATTTTTAAGGGTCAAAACACACAAATAACTCGTGACACAAATTTTATGCATACCTGTCTTAATTTTTTCTCTATCCGTCTCATTTATATAAAAGACCTCAATTCTGGATGCAAAAATAAATCTCTAATTTCATATGATATTTTTTCTCTAAATTCTTTTCAAAAAATTCAGCTAAAATTATACATTGATGTTTAATATTAAAAATGTTTTGCTGACAATGGTTCAATTTGAACTCTGAAGTTTATATGGGTGACTTCATACATGTATTACAATCGGATATCATCTGAATTTTCACAAGCCTGAGACACCAGTCTTTTTAAATCAGTGATTGTATCTGCCGTACAATCAGCCCCCAGACTGCTGAAAAAGGTCGAGGTCAAACACATCAGAGCATGTGCACATTTAGAAATCCTAAAAGCATTTATTTCTCTGTAATATGAGCCACAGATTATTAAGAAAACTTGGTTAAATCAAGAGGAAGGGAAAAAAAAACAGGCTAATAAAACATTGGGTTGGAAGAACAAAATCCATTGCATTCTGTAACACATTCCATTTTTAATTTGTGCAAATAAATTTCATAAAAAAAGTAAATGTTTTTTTTTTCTTCACAGATCATTAACTCAAACATATTTATGTGACAAAAACAGTTGAAGGTAATTATAAGAATATAGCCTAAAAAGAATTTTATCTACAGAAAAAGAAGGCTACTAATAGAAACTAAACATCTTCATTAAAATAAAAGTAATTGCAGTGTAGGTTTGAAAAAAGAAAATCAAGGGCCATGCAGATAGGGTTCACATTTCACAATTAAGGCAAGAGATCTGTTACTGCCATTATTTTATAATTTTGATTCAATTGTGCTACTTTCTATTACCAGATATTTTCCTTGATCATTGTTACTTTCATATTTCTATTTTTAGTTTGTTTCTATGTGCTCTGTATTTTTAATTAAGGTCATAAGCCTACTTTGTTGATTTTTTTTTACATGGTAAAATTTTACAGAAGATTTACATTTATTTGGGGGGATTTCATTTTGATTGAATTTAAATACAGATATAAAAGAAAAGATCTGGGGAAAATGAAAATACAGCTGGCTTGATAGGAAAATTGTGTGATAAATATATGTTTTAGCAAATGCACGCATTGTACAGTTTTACAAATTTCATAACATAATTTTTTTGAGAGTCCCATGTCCTTTAGGGACATGAGCAAATAGTCCGGATTAATGAAGCATCCAGATTAGTGAAATATATACATACACAGTCAAAACTTGTTATCTCGAATTCAATGGGACTGAGAAAAAAAACTTCGAGATATCAGAGTATTCGACATATCAAGCATTAATTACTTAAAGAATAAGTGGTTTAGACTTCCAATTCAAATTGATATATCCATGGTATTTGAGATATTAGTTTTCGAGATACTGAAGTTCAACTGTGTATAAACTATTTCCTACAAATTTCATTCAGAAGGTAAAGCATCTGGATTAATGGCATTCTGATAAACGAGGTTCCACTGTATTTGTTTTTTTGATTTGTTTATTTGTTTTTTTTTTTTGTTGGGGGGGGGGGGAGGGGGGTGTTTGAGATCAAAATTCTCTGTTGTGAATTTCGGACTTTGATCCATTTACGTTGGGGTAAAACAAAATTGCCATTGTCAATCTAAATCTTCTATGAATAATAAAAGTTTCATTTACAAAACTTGAAGCTTTCGGGGGGGGGGGGGGGGGGGGGGGGGGGGGGGGGGGGTAATTGGATTTTTTTAAAGTTAGAATACAAACTACTGATGAAATAAAATTCTATTGCTATGGACTGCACATCCCAATAAAAGAACTCTGGAGAATAAATTGAAAAAGGAACCTAATCCTACCCTAAATCAAGCTAAGAGGCATTTTTTTCTGCAATGTGTCTCTCCATGCTATTCATCTAGCATATTACAGGATACAATTTAAATCTGAATACCCACTCATCACGGTCTGGGACCATGCTCAATTAATAAACCTATAAAGGAGTTTTTGAAACTGATCTGTCCTTTTCCATCCAAAACCATATTGAGTCAACTTTCATCGGATTATGCACAAAAGCTGCCATTTAAAAGGCGGGCATTCTGCATCAATTGGTTTTCCTTCGTAATAATTACCCTTTTTTAAAAGGTATAACTTTCAAGCAGGTGTAAATTTCATCACAAATATGTGCACAATTCTAGCAGAGCATGTAAAAAACATTTTAAACTCAATTTGGAAAACTGAAAGGATGAAAGGCATAAGGTGTCAAAGTAAATCACGTGCCAGATGATTTTGTTGAGCAAGTAGACTTGCAAACACATTTATCCCTTTAATAATCTAAAATTAAATGACAGTCTGTTGCCAGCTCATATGTGTGCTGTTTCTTCTGGTTTCTGAACAGAATATCAATTTATACATGTTGTTTATGCATGTCCACAATATTTAATATTTAGATTACTATCCATTAACAGTCTAATGCAGCACAATGGATAGGCGTGACTCCTTCAGTCTCAAAATTCATTGAAACCAATCACTGGCAATTTCAAAATAAGAATTTTCAAGTCTTTGACTAACAAGAGACCAATGGACCTACACAGTCCTGAAAGAGTGTCAAGAGTATTTCTTTGTACTCTCCAAGATTGCTGATCAGGTTAAAGTTGGTACAGCATTTTTTAGATGGTGTCATATTTTGCAATACGTGTCAATTAGAGCAAAAAACTCAAACAGTGTTTTATAGATGTTAACCTAATTGATACAATAATTTTCAAGTTAATAATAAGGTCTTTATTGAAAAATAGTGAAAGTTATGTTTGTCCAAGTAATGTCACCCTAACTTGTCCAAATGGACATACAGAACAAAATTTAATGCCATAATGGAGCAGTTTGGGGCTGTTCAGTTCAATTTCCTAGTCAATATTACATAATATGGTTACAAGATTAAAAGAGAGAAATTTTCACCCACATCATTTCCAACCCTTGTAATTAAACCATAAATCAAATGCATTTATTTCTTTAAAAAATGAACTGACATCTAAAAATAACAATAGAAAAAAATACATTATATTCATTAAATTGTACATCAAAAACTTGAACTAGATTATAGATTAAAACTGAGAATAGAGCTTGATTAGAGACCATTATAAAGGCAGTCAGACTGTCTTTTCAACAAAACACAACCATGCATTCAAAGAGCATCTAGCCCAGAGAGATAATGTCCTTTTTTGATGTAATAATGATGACTTTTATTGAAATAAAGGAGAAAGTTGACCCCTGGCTATCAACTTGCCACACAATTTTAGCATTTGTAAATTCTGCATTAACATACTTTGATGATAAAACTAAGCAGTAGAAAAAAAAATGTCTCAATTAATCCCAATGTGCACCGTCAAAGCTAGTTAAGAGATGGAGGATAAAAACAATGCTTTTCATCTCCAGCGTTGAATTAGAGAATGGTCTTAACTCACTTAAATGCCATTTTCCATTTTTTTCTCCAAAATAATTAACCAATATACTTCTTTCATTCTTTGGGTAAGGCTATGAGCAATATGTGTTTTAAAGAACCTGAAAAACATGTTGACATTAAGATGAAGGCCAAAGAAAAAAATATGTTGGTTTATGGTTTACCTGACCTACCCTAAATTTTTGCATAGACCCAAATTTTTTCCAGTGATCTTTAATAATGACTTTCTAAAATAAGAGGTCTAGGGGCCTTAATGGTCAACTGAGTATAATACAACATTGTAAAGGATCCATAGAAGTATAAAACAAAATAAATGATAGATGAAAGTACTTCTTGTACGAGGGTTGTTCGGAAAGTTCGTGGACTAGCGCTATAAAATTAAAAGCGTATTAGATGCATCAATGAATTTTTTAAAGTTTAATTAGCATCATCTTTTTTATTTATATAATAAACTATACATCATTAGTTTTATTTTTTAATAAATTGTTGATGATTTTGAAAGCAATGGTACGTCCAGGCGGCGCAACCTCGAAGATTACGTTTTTTCTACCTAAGTGTAACTAAGAAAAGAAACTCTTTTTGATATGAGCATTTGTCATTCAAAAATCTCGTTAATTCACTCATGTGGTATGACACAATTGTACCGTAAAATTTGCAATTTTTACCCCATTCTGTAAGTTCTATGAAATTTTATCGTAAATTTTATATGAAATGTCCAAACAATTATGGGGTTGTAATGACGTCAGAAAGGGGGTGGGTTTCTTTTTCCAACATTCTATAAAGGTTCACCCTCTGGAAAAACTGGCATATACCTAGGAAATATTTATATGGGCTACCAAAAAATAAAATGCATTCAGAGTACTTGTTTTTAAACGCCGAAAAAGATTAGAGAAGCAAGAGATGTAAAAGTTAATGTCGATTTGTAGTAAGGGTGTTCAAAGTTTGTCACGTCGAAAAGTGACGTTGATCATATGTGATAGATGTTGAAGTCCGACAAGCAAATATGCTGTTGTAATCAAGTGAGGATCTTTCAGATCTATTTACAATATTATATAATGCATTGAAATCAGCTGTTTATGACATTATAAAATCATATACACATGTAAACAAGACGGGTTTAAATCTTTACTTAACTCCAAGGAAACTCATCAAGATAAGTGTATGAGGTCGAGAATGCGGACATTGAAAAACAATGACGTCACGAGACTAAATGGCGACAGCGCCGGGTGATCATATAATGTCTTTTTTATTTTATGATAATTTGGTAAATATTCAAGATATCAAGGTAAAATTTTCAACATATCTTTAACTTTTGTTGTTTTATGTTCATTAAAAATTTTGTAAGTATAGACTACATGGTATTAATTTTATCGCATCAGTCCACGAACTTTTCGAACAACCCTCGTATTATCTGGTAGAGTGGTGTTCTTTCAACTAGTTTTTTTT